CAATGCAGACTAGTGATTGTCTTGGAGCAGAAACTCTTATCAAACTGCTGAAAAACTACTCAAGAAGCCATGAGGTATTATTAGACATCTGAACGAAATGCTATTAGAACTCTTTGGATGTTGACTAAGTGAAATCGTTAAAGCGCTAAAACTTCCTTCATCCCTACCTTTCTTTGCATTAGCCACTGTAGGATGTAAATTTAATTTTGCCACCCCTTCCCATGGGAGTTCTGTTTGTTGTTTTCTGGATGATATCTGCTTCAACTGTCCTCTTAAAGCAAGTTTTGGCTGCAGATCAAAAAATCCATCACAGTTGGGGTTATTGGCCTACCTAATGTTGGTAAAAGCAGTTTGATTAACAGCTTGAAGAGGTCTCATGTTGTCAATGTTGGTGCTACTCCTGGATTAACACGATCTATGCAAGAGGTACAGTTGGACAAGAATGTGAAATTATTGGATTGCCCTGGGGTTGTGATGCTTAAATCTGCTGGCAGTGATGATGCATCAATTGCTCTTCGAAATTGCAAGAGAATTGAGAAGTTGGACGACCCAGTTCTTCCTGGTAATTGAAATTTATTTTGTCTGAAGCAGTAAATTACATCTTTGCCATTTTGTAGTTAGTTAATGAATCTCTGACTAAATACCTATTTTTGGATGATGCAGTTAAAGAAATTCTCACACTGTGTCCTGCCAGAATGTTGGTAATGCTGTACAAGGTTCCTAGCTTTGATTCAGTTGATGACTTTCTCCAGAAGGTCGCTACTGTCAGGGGTAAGCTGAAAAAGGGCGGCATTGTGGATATTGATGCTACTGCAAGAATTGTTCTTCATGACTGGAATGAGGGTATGTGTTATCAGCACTTATCTCCTCTCTTGCAGCATATTTAAATAATTGACTTTTACCATACATCTTTTCTTGTCTTGAAATTAGTCAAATGCGCGTTTGGGTAGTATATTTTGGTATCATATTTGACATTTCACTATGTTTTCCCAGGTAAAATTCCCTATTACACGATGCCTCCAACTAGAAATGATGGAGAGCCTTCAGAGGCAAAAATTGTATCAGAATTTGGAAAGGAATTCAATGTGGATGAAGTTTATGGCAACGAGTCCTCATTTATTGGTAGCCTAAAATCTGTCAGTGATTTTAACCCTGTTGAAGTTCCTTCAAACTCTCCTGTCAATTTTGATGAAAAGATGCTTGAGGTATGTCGGTCTGAACAATCATTTTCAACTCATGAGCATGCATTGTGACTTTTAAGTCGTCTCATTTCCTTGAAGTTCAAAGGCAATAGCTTTTTGTTATAGTTCAGAGGAGATTGATTATTTACGTGGAAGACTTTATGCATGTAAGCAAGTAACTTGAGATTTGAACTCTTCATCTCTTGGAGAAAGGCAATCTACCTTTTAATGTGATGGGGATGGAACTGATGGCCTTTTCCCATTGGCACTTTGTCTCAGTCTTAGCAAAAGAGTTAAAAGTCTGCTGTTAGATGCTTTTTTGGAGTAATGGTGCAGCTAATACGTAGAATTAGTCTGTCTGCAATGTCATAGCTTGGTTTTGCAAATTTAAACTACTGTAAATCAGATAACAGCTATTTGAATACAAAATTATCCACACGGTGGGTGGGAAGGGTGGGGGCATATTTTGGATACAAATTGCAATTCTACATTGCCTTGTAGTTCATTGTGATACTTCTGAACATCGTGTTTATATGCATTTAGCCTTCATATGTGTTATATTTGACATTGCAGGATGATGCTTATCCAGCGTCATTGCCCCAAAGTGAAAATCTGGAAGACAATGTAGGGGATGATGGAGATGAGTCCATGAGATCAGAAGATGAAGCAGGGTCTGTGAAGGCTAAAACTGCCAGCAGCAGGCAGAATGAGAGGCTATATGCCGAGGAAGGTATTCTTAACACTAAGTTGAAAAAGGCAGAGAAGAAGAGGAGGAAAAAGGACAATAAATCAACTGCTATGGAAGATGATTATGACTTCAAGGTAGATTATGTCAGCAAGGGATCTGCCATGGAAATTGGCGAGGGAGTTGGACTGGAGGATGATAGCTCAAAAAACAGATTTGAGCTGCCATCTGGAGTTGATTTAGAAAATGAATGAGGAATTTTGTTTTATAATTTTGAGCCGTTTTCTCCCTTTTATAAGCAAGCTTCTCCGTACGAGTTGAGCAATGATTTTGATGTTTTATGAGAAAGCAGGAGATAGAAAATATTTTGTCTCGGTAAAGCTAATTATTGTCCTGGAGGAAAATAAACTTTGGTGAGCCAAGACGTTTTTCCTGTCGCACATTTTTTTGTGTGGGCAAAACTAATGTTGTTGTTACTGCAGTTTTTTTTTTTTTTAAAAAAAACAGAAAAAACCCAGAAGTTAAATCAAGAAAGGAGGAAAAGAACGGTTAATGGCGGCATAGCATTATCTTACCTTTGCTGTTAACCGTTCACCAATTGACCGACGATGTTACAGACGGCTGGTCAGGATCAGGAAAAGTATACAGCACATGCTGTTTCTTCTTCTCGGTGCTGCTACGATTTGGAGCGCCAGATGAAAATATCACCTGATCATCTTTAGGTACTCACCAAAATCAGATTAGAAGTAGTTATCGGTCATAATTTAGTAGCAGAATTCGCGCCTTTGAGATGTGACAACTAACAAGTTCTTCGAATGTACGACGACTACATAACGTTTGAGCCAACACAAGCGAATCATGCGTGTAATTCAGTCGTTTCTTCATGTTATTTTTTAACCTTAGAAAGTGCCGATCGAGGGATTGAGTAGCCAACTGCATAACCTTAGAAAGTACTGATTGAGATGGAGGGAATTATGTATCTGTTTAAAGTATTCCATACTAATAATTAGAGCTGCAAACGAGTCGAGTCGAGTCGAGTTTTGAACTAATCGAGCCGAATCTCGATTAAATTTTACCGAGCTCGAGTTCGACGAGCCGGCAATTTTCGAGCTCGAGCTCGACTCGAATCAAGTCGAGCCGAGCTCGAGTTCGAAAAAAATAAAAAATAAATATTTTATTAAAAAAAAATAAAATAATATTTTTTTCTAAATAAATAATAAAATATTAAGGATATATACGTAATTTTACTATGAAAAAATATATATATATAATATACGTAATTTTATTATTAAATAAAAATAAAAATAAAAAAATATATATATACTCAAGCTCGCGAGTCGGCTCGCGAGCTAATACTCGCGAGCTAATGAATTTAATAGTCTTAGCTCGAGTTCGAGTTTGACTCAAACCGGCTCGAACTCGACTCGAGCTTGACTCGAGCCGCTTGCGAGCGGCGCGAGCTGCTCGATTCGTTTGCAGCCCTACTAATAACTAACAAGTGAAGTCGAATTATTTGGGTACAAAAGATAAACCAGTTTCTAAGAGTAGAACATCATCACATCATTCATGACAGAGAAGAACTAGTTGTTTGATCATCATCGTATCATGACGAGTGGTTTAACAAGGATTTTTGTGCAAAGGTCAACAATTATTTGAGATAATTTTGTGAAAAATACTATAGCATTTCTTTGATGTGATGTATGTGAAATAAAAAGATGATTGAAAAATATGTTGATGATGCAAACAAATCAATGTGTGTAAATGAGGTGTAAATAATGTGCATTCCAAACACACTTGTCTTCTAAATTTTAGGCATGATTAAATGTCTATTATATGCACACCGATTTATTCAATACTTAAAAAAGAAATTCAAAAAGTTATCTACAACTCGTGTTTATATGTAATAATTATCAGGTAATCTAATGGTGTAAAATTACATAAATGCTTAAAGTTATGCATAAAAGTGCATAGCAATTAAACTCATTCTCAGGGGCTTGGGGGGTCTTTATCTTCTAGCAGCAGGACACCATGTGGGGTTTCTATCCCACATCGGTAAAATTGGGGGTTGGGGTTAGATTTATAAGTCCCTCACAGGACTCCCAAAGTTATCGACTTTTGGAGTTACTGTGGGGAGTTAGGTTTATTTGTTGAAACTCTTACTTTCAGTAAGAAAATGTTAGAAAGAAAAAAAATTAAACTTATACACAAGAGTACTAGAGGGGGGAGGGGGAGTGGGTATATTGTAGTATATCTAATAGGTGGATGATAATGGGTAAATTTCAAACTATCAAATGAATGTTTGATTTTTCTTGTAATTCATATGGTTTAACACCTAAGGAAGGTTTAGTGTTTAGCAAATTAAAATTGTTAGAAAGATGATGAGAAGAGCATTGTCTAGTTTCTTTATTTTAATGTTTCATTGTAAACATGGTGGGTGGGGACAAATTAAAAAATTTAGCACACTTGTGGGGTTAGAGAATACTATCAAAATTTAAGAAGGGCAAAAGTGGGGCAATGATAAAAATTTAAATATTTTTATAGGGTATTAGGATGTAGTTTCAAAAAAAGAAAAGGGGGCCATTGCATGCACCCCCAAGTTGGCTGTGGCTCCGCCCACGACAACTATACATAACTGTGGCCTTGGTCGATGCTCGATTAGGTTAAGACGTTGAACTAGATGACCACGCGTCCAAGAAACGGATTATTGTCAAATCTCCGTTAGCATTGGCCGTTGCCAAATGACGCGGTTTGAAGCAAAACCGGCTCTTCCCATTTCGGCCCACGGGATATAAAAGAGAGACTATCCATCCTACTTCAAATTCTTCGCATTAATGCCATTCGCATTATTTTGAACTTGGCATTGGCATCTCGGGTGATTAATGCCATTCCCATTACCAGCCAGCTTAGTTGAGTTAATGCCAATTTTTTTTTTTTTTTTGATAACGAAATTAATGCCAAAATTTTAAAACCTTAAAACTTACACCTTGTGGGCCAGTGACAGTGGCATTTGCGTTATTCCCGATGATGTACGAGGGTTTGTTAAACAACCTACCATCCCACGGCACCCACCGAAGGAGTCTCTCCAGTCGCCTATATTTCTATAAAATCTTTAAAGAAGAAATTAAAAGGAAAAAAAAATATATAAAACCAAGAAAGACGAAATTTCTTCTTTATGGTCGAACGGTACAAAAATCAAACTCGATCCAATCCTCTCCCCGCATCGTCACGCTTCCTCTATTTCTTTTTCTCTCGCGATTTATCCTCTTTTCATTTGTTTGCCCCTCTTTCTTTCTTCACTCACTTTCTCTCTCTAGATTCCGAAGAGGCCTGCTAGGGTTTTTGTGAGGGAGTTACCAGAGAGAGAGAAGAGTGAAAATGGGGCAGCAGTCGTTGATCTACAGCTTCGTCGCCCGAGGAACGGTGATCTTAGCCGAGTACACTGAGTTCACTGGAAATTTCACCAGCATAGCATCGCAGTGCCTTCAGAAACTTCCGGCCACGAACAACAAGTTCACCTATAACTGCGATGGTCACACTTTTAACTACCTCGTCGAAGACGGCTTCAGTAAGTTTTCATCCTTCTTCGTCCTTTCCCGATCCATTTGCCGCTTCGATTTGTTACGATGTTATTTGCTTGATCCGCTAGTTAATCGGTGCTTTGTCTTTCTTACTACTACTACAGAGTCAAAGGCTCGTGGTTTTGCTCTTCTTTTCTTTTCATTTCTTTCTCTCTCTTTCTTCTTCTTCTCTCTCTCTCTCTTTTAAATTTTGGTGAATCAGCTACTTTACTATTTTTATTCGTTTTATTTATGTGATGATTTCGCTCTTTTGATTCAGATCTTAGTTGATAACAATTGGACTTTTTATTTTCACTGAGCGTCTTCTGCGACTTTTCAGACTCTTGGTTTTGCAGTTCTGAAATAATTATTGACATTGAAATGAATGTTATGAGATTGAGTTCTAAAATTCTTACATTTACTGGTGATTTTACTCTTCGCGGGCTGTGGCTCCGTTAGATTTTCTCCTTTTTTTTTTGGTTAGACGTATATTCAGTTGCAGATTAGAAGATGACTTCTTATTGGTGTTCGCATGGATCCTACGATAAGGATTTGGATCTTCTCTTATTATGTTGCGTTCAGATCTTTTTTGCTTCCTATCAGTACCTTCTTATTCTCTGATTGAAGTTTGATCGCTATTTGTTAATGAAATTTTATTATATGATATCACAGTAATTAATAAGTTGGTAATTTTTTAGCTCTGTGACATTCTGTGGCTTAAGGTGCTGAGAATTATGGGGCCTAGGATCAAATGGGAATTTTGTTCGCGTGCATTGGTTCCATTATATTTTCAAGGCAGCATGACTTTGTATACAAATTTAAAGTTTCACTTGTACAGATTTATTGCTATTAAAGGAGTTTGTGTTTTTCCATTCCACATACTTTTTTTAGTTACTTCTTTTTCGCAATTATGAATGCTTAATTTTGAAATTTCTATAGTCTATGAGTTTAATGATGAAAAACCCTTTCTAGAATAATGTACTTTTGATTTTAAGCAACCTATGTATATTTTTTTATAGTAAACATGAATTAGTCTAACGTCTTGATCTTTGATTTGTTTGACTTGACTTGTCATGAGCTTTGATTCCTTTGAATTGACTTTGTACTTGGACATTATCCTTATCCATTGCTTACACCCTCCTCCTTCCCTGCTGCCCCTACTATTAAAATTAAGTGCAACTATTTTTCTTTTCATGCTGCCTGTCTGCTCTAGATTGAATCTATCTTGATAAAGCATATTTGCCTTTTTTGTTTGATAATCGAGACTGTCAGTGACTGTTACTTACTGCTTGTAAAGCAAATGGGAATTACTTTGATGTTCTGTATCTTAGAAATGGTAAAACGTGTATGGAAAACAAGTTGTATGCCTTTCTTGATTTTGATTTAACACATAACAATGACTTTTCTTTAGTTGCCTGTGTTCTCCTATTTAATTCTTAGGTTTTTAGGGTGGTTTTCCTGCTTTTGTGATGCTTGGTTGTACAATGACTTATACGACAATGTGGTTCTAGACATAGTTCAAGCTTGTTGTTTGAGAATCTGTTGGGTCAATAGAAGTATGATTGATAAAAATTAGAGTATTCTCACTCTTCCTATAATTTCTTATCCGTATATGACTGTTGCTGAAATGAGTTATTTGAGAATATTCTCTACTCACGTGGAGCCGCCTTAGTGTTTTCAGGGAAAGAAGGGAATTGAATGTTTTCTGTTATAGACGAGCATTTCCAGACTCCTCTAGTCCATTTCTATGTGGTTGTGGATATGTATCATTGTTGGTTTGAGTGTTGTTTAGCTAACAAACCAAATACTTCTGTTTGGCAGCATATTGTGTTGTTGCTGTGGAATCTGTTGGGAGACAGCTTCCAATAGCTTTTCTGGAGCGGATAAAGGAGGATTTTACCAAGAAATATGGCGGTGGGAAAGCTGCTACTGCTGTTGCTAATAGTCTTAACAGAGAATTTGGGTACTTCATTCTACTCTTCTTCATGAGCTTTTCCTTTTCCCTTTTTTTTTTGGATAATATTTTTGCATATGATAATACTACTTTGTTGAAATGACGCATGATGATGTATCTATAGGCCCAAACTGAAGGAACAGATGCAATACTGTGTGGATCATCCAGAGGAGATCAGCAAGCTTTCAAAAGTAAAGGCTCAGGTTTCAGAAGTCAAAGGGGTGATGATGGAAAACATTGAGAAGGTTAGTGTAGTTGGCACCTTAACTACTTGTGCACTGCCTGTGAATTGAGAGATTCTGAAGATTGGAAAAGGGGTCTATGGATTGGATATGATGAATCTGGTCTTGCAGGTTCTTGATCGTGGAGAGAAGATTGAGCTTCTGGTTGATAAAACTGAGAATCTTCGATCTCAGGTTTGTGACTGTAATAGCTTGCTATTTCTGGTTATACACTGGATCACGTTTTTTCATGAAGTTTCCCTCTTAAACATCATCTCCTGTCAAGTTCTTTATTTTTGACTTTATCTCTGGCTCCCTTTGGCACTTATTTTCAGTTTCAGACTGTTTGGTACGTAAGGGTAATGAGTTTGCCTTGGTCCAATGTGCAGGCACAAGATTTCAGGACACAGGGAACCAAGATGAGGAGGAAAATGTGGTTACAGAATATGAAGATAAAGCTTATTGTCCTGGGCATTATCATTGCTTTGATTCTTATTATTGTGTTGTCCGTGTGTGGTGGCGTCAAATGTCATTGATTTGGTTGTGCTATGGTTTTTGTTAGGCTGGTGATTGACGGAGAACTTGTGCTGCTTTCTTGATATCATAACATAGCGTTATGTTTACGTATAAATTTTTGGTGGCCCTTGCCTACCCATTTGATAGGGATGGTACTCTGAGACAATGCTTGTATAGTCTGTATTTCTGAATTCGTTGAATATATTAGAAGAGTCCGGAATGTTTTCAGGAAAAATATGATGATGGTTCATGCGCCTGTATTTTTGAATTTATTGCGTGCTCATGGTATCAACTAAATAATTACAATGCTTGCGTTAAATTATGATACATTATCAACTTTGCTTTTTTTTTAATGGATAATGGTTCCATTGCTAATTCCGCAGGCCTAGTTGACTGTTTATTTTTTATCTAACAAGATTGTATGTGTCAAGGGGAGCATTTGTACCCGGGTTTGCATAACTGATGCTCTTAAATTAGGTTGCTTCCTCAATTTATTTAGATTTACGAAAATGAATCTTAAGGCGAAAACAGAAAAATACCCTCTCTGAAACTCTTGGCACGCTTAGAACTCAAAAAGTCCAAAACCCGGCCCCCTTTCCTCGAAGTTTAGTGATGCTCGCTGTTCTATTCTTTCACTCTCGTTAGATTTTTGTGGGGGGTATTTCATCCTCCTAGTTGTTGTTGCATCTAGTGCAGAGTCCCGTCCCATTGTTTACCAATGCTCTTCCATTTAAAATACAGGATTCCGTAAATATGAGCTTTTCCCAGCTTGTAAACGGTACACATGAAACTTCCGCTAGTACGCTGATGCATGGTCGATGGACTTTTGTTAATGGTTCGACCCAGTCGCTGATACGGTTCATGTGAGTAGAACTATAAGATATTCTCAATAGGAGGCCCAAGATGGCACTGTAGGTGTACTAGCTTTACGAGTCCACACACCACTTCAGAATAGAATTCATTCTCATTCTTTTTGAAGTAATAATAATTATTATCGACAAAGATCAGAAACAGATAGAATTCATTCTCTTTCTCGTTGGCAGTCAACACAGCCAAAATTCTGATAAGTTGATTGCATAAATTTCTGGTGATTTTTCTCTCCGCTTAAATAACGGCACCATGGATGGAGTTAATATATTCTAAACTTGGCATCCTATTGCACAAGCAGGCTTCTGGGTACATCTCTGTGAAGTGAACAGTTCGTTGTTATGGACTGATTTCCATGTTGTCGATCAGCCTGACCTTTCCAAACCATGCTGCAACGCAAAAGACAGCTGGCCCCTTAATCTCTTCCACTGCTTCCAGACTCTCTTGGTCTACAACCTGTTTCCAAAATGGAGGAGGAACATGTCAACCGTTCTAAATTGAGGTACGGAATATGAACTTGTGATATTTTCAGCTGGCAGAAACCTCGGATCTTTTTACTGAATAGAATTTATAAAAGAGAGAAGAAAAAAAAAAAAACGAGAAGCACCTTTACGGAAGGATTTAAAGAATGCAGACATCAAGTGATTATCACACAATCAATCAGAGGTTGGGTAGTCTATCTTGAAATACGGGGGAAACATTGGGGTTATTGATATAATAAGCATTTTTATACTGCTCATCAGCACTGCAACCGACAAAAACTCGAGCGAGCACTCAAAGGTTTCAGGTGTTCTTGTCTTGGTTACACGCTAACATCGACATTCACACTTTATAATAAGCATTTTTTATATGGCTCAGCAGCAGCGCCGAGTGCTCCGAAAAAACTCGATTGAGCACTAAGGGGCAGCTCTGAAAAATTGACAGCTAACACCTGAGTAAAGTAATGGCAATTGCAACGTCTATCTAATTATTTAATGTAGATACAGACAGCTATTGAACAGAATTTTTCCTAGAAAAGCCACATTGTAGCATGACTTTCATGCCATAGTTATGCTTAAACTACCCTCATCTGCTGCCTGTGTATCAATCAAGCTTCAAAAATCGCAACGATTTATATTTTGTAGTGATGTACGATTAATGCTACTTCAACATGAAAGGTTGACCACAAATGGCACATAAGGAACGGCCACCGAGCTCGAAAGCCCAATGCTTTGGTTCAGCTTTACCAGATAGTATTAATTAAGAGTACTAACAGTTGAATATGCAAATAGGAGAAAAATTACGTATGATGCCTGCCTGACCTCTGCATAATCAATTAATCCACCGGCTCCTTGTACAGACCGGATCACTGAATTCATTAATTCTCTGCAATTAACTTGTCCATTTTCCGCTGCAGCTTTAGCTTCAGTCAGCGAGCGACTTATGGACAGCGCCTGCAAAATACCATGAAGAGCAAAGAGCATTGGCACCGGGACGTGCCATGATTTTGACAGATTAAACTAAGCACAAATAACAAGTGCAAGACACAATAAGCTGCTTCAGTCAGGAAACATTCCTAGTAAAAGAGCAGGTTCAAGAACACAGGCAACTGAAACAACCGCGAACACAGGCAGACATGTATCAATATAATTAATATTAACAAAACCACATCACTATAAGCTCTAGAGGCAAATGTATGCACTTGAAAAGTACCTTGTCCCTTTCAGCAGGTGAAAGGCGCACATTACGGGAGCTCATTGCAAGGCCATCAGGTTCTCGCACTAAGTCAGAGCCAATCACTTTTATCCCAAAATCGAGATCTCGAACCTGATCGAGTTCCCCCAACAAAAAAAAAAAAAAAAAAAAAAAAAGTAAAAATGTTTTTTTTTTTTTTTTCCAATTCTCTGGTAGGTAAAGCTTTCATTTTTAATGTCAGGCAAAAGTTGGAGTAGAAAAAGTAGACATAAATGACAGATCCTGCAATACTATCTCCGTACTAATATCAGAATGAAGAAAAAGAAATTTGCAATACTCCAGAAAGGCTAACCATTCTTTGTATAATCCGCCACTGCTGATAATCTTTCTTCCCAAAAAAAGCAACATCAGGCTCAACAATATTAAACAACTTGGTAACAATTGTAGCAACCCCTCTAAAGCAAACAGGCCTGCTCTTCCCACACAGTGGCTTTTCCAATTTTTCGACTCTAACCCAGGTTTCATGCCCCATTCCCCCATCCTCCACGCAAGACACAACCTCTCTCCCTTCCCTTTCTCCCCCGTGTTGATCTCCGCTATCATTCCAACAACTCCTATCATTGCTATTATCCCCATAATCATATAAATTGTGCGGGTGGAAAACAACATCGACCCCACCAGGAATGGACTTGAGCTTGTCAATATCACCAAGAAAATCAGAAGGGTATGTTGAAAGGTCTTCAGTTGGGGAGAATTGACCTGGGTTCACATATATTGAAACGACAACTGACTGGGAGTGCTTGTGAGCATCTCTAATGAGGGATAAATGACCTTCATGAAGGTAACCCATGGTGGGGACTAACCCAATTGTCTTGCCTTGGGCTCTCATGCTTCTTGACCACTGTCTCATCTTATCCTTGTCCGAGATGATTAAGGGATTTTTAGTGGCCATTTGCATGGAAATCTGAACTTAAAAAGGAATCCTTGTACTTTTTGCTCTGTCAAGATCAAAATTTTCTGTAGTTTTTCGAACTTGTGTGTGAAATTTGTAACAGATGATGAAGGCAGGAGGAAATATGACTACTACTACTACTACTGCAGAGGAAGGAAAATGGATGAGCTTGTGGTGTGGAATCTGGATGCAGGCCCGTCAAGGGCAACAGCAGCGAGAGAAATGACAAAATATGAAGGAGGCGGCGGCGGTGTTCCTTTCTGTTACTATACTAGTTTATATAGATAGATATAATGGTCGTCTCTCGTCTGGCGATATGTTTTGTGGGAACCGGTATCTAATTAGTAATGCAAAAGTACCAACTAAATTGGTTCGCAGACCACAGATTCGCCGCCATGGATCTTGGCTGAAAAGAAAATTGTCAATAATAATCCGTATCTTTGAACTCGTTGCTAAGTACGTTACGTGATAGTTTAAATATGTCCAACAAGGCCCAAATCTACATGAATGCTAAACTAGATTATGTGATAGTAGGTTTGTTTGGATCGTGGTTTATTTGTATTTGTCGATATCATCATTACAATTTTCAACACACCTTTTTATCTTTTCAATTATTTTTTTATCTCACATACATCATATCACAAAAAGTGCTACAGTAAAAATATCTCTAATAATTCACAAACCAAGCCGTAAATATGTCCAACAAGAGCAAAATCTACATGCAAAAAAAAAAAAAAAACAACACCGATCCATGGACATTGAGAGCAAAAGGTCAAAAAACTTATTCCTCTCTAATGGAATTTTTTTATTCTCTACCGTGCACATTTAAATAAATATCCCTTTATCTTTCTAATAAATAAAGAGACATACTGTTGCATCTAGACGTGAATTATGAAAAATAGAGAAAGATTCTGCTGAACAAGATTATTATTATTATTATTTTTTTAAGAATGAAGAATATTCAGATCCTGCCAAATTCCAAGGTCAATAGGTACAAGTTCGTTTTCAAAGAGAAACATTCCAATGTGAACCTCCAAACTAAAATTTTTATTTTTAAGATTGTGGGTAGTAAATCTTTTCTTGTGATGTGACTAGAGATAACAAATTCTGCAAAGTATCAATGGTGATGTTGAGATACCTTGTTATTGGACTGGTATATAACTACTGAATCATGTAGGGATTCCCCAAGAGGATATACTAATATTGTTCCAATAAGTGTAATTAAGGAGCCATTCGCCAACTTAATTATCTCGTATGATTTTCCTAGTGAAAGACAAAAGGATTCATACAATGATACAAATATAATAGCACGTGATGTAAAATTTTTTGAGGAAAATGGTTCATTCTCCAAATTCATTCAAGTAAATTAAATCCATGTACATATATACTCCTTCACAAATGAGGGCTCGGAGTGGGATCATGGGAGACCCATTATCTAGCATCTTTCTTCTCTTCGAAACCATGATTTCTTCTCATCCCATCTGCTATCCACACACCCTAACAAGTACTAACAAATTCATTATCTCTAATAAGAGAAACGAAAAACGGAAAAGAAAAAACTACTGAAGCAAACCACAGGAAAACATATCGAGAACAAAAGGCTGGTTTTCAATCAGCAAGCCATTTGATCTCTAAAAGGTGTAATCTCTTCAAAGATTGGAAGCCTCCTGGATCTAGGAGGAGCCCACACATCCAGCAGCCGCTCGAGCTCATCAACAAAGTCACGATCATCTTCTGAATCCAGGCCTGGAAATTGCGGTGGAGGCTGCCTTGTTTGGAGCTCCAAAAACAATTCCTGAGCACGAGCTCCGGTCCTGGGGTCATGGGAACCCGCAAGTTTTCCTTGCAAAACATCATCAAGAATCAAACGTGCCTCGTCGTATCGTGCCTGTTGAATTAGGCAGTGACACAAGTTGCAAGCCTTGTTGGCATCAGGCTCGATCATTTGTGCTTTCCGGTAGACTACCTCTGCAGATATATAATTCGATTTCTGCATGTACGCCCAAGCTAAATTTCCCTGTCGTCGTCACCATTACCACAGATATTAGAACTAGCAGCAGTCCTATATAATTAAGGGCTCAATGACTTGGACGTGGTGAGACATTTTATTTTTGGATCTATTCTATATATATATATATATATATAGTATGTACGTACCAGTATTCTTGAAGTTTCTTGCTTGACGGAAACTTGAAATTTCTTCCCGTGAGAGCGTGCAGTCTTTGTGGGCTTTCCATTGAAAGCCTGTCCGAGATAAATCATCCGAAGCTTCTGCTTCAGCACCGATATTTGTTCGTCTACTCTTCCACATTTCTACGTGAGGTTCAAACGCGTACCAAATTATTTGAAAGGTTTCATTAACTGTACTGGTAAATGAGGGATTAATTGTTTACGTATTAATATGTGACATAAGTAACATAAAGTTGGATAGTTCTTGCTCGCATGAAGAAGCTAGTCAATGTACGAAAGATTAATGTGAGCTAGGAGGCCTGATGGTAATTAAGGAGCCATAATGAATTTGTACTGCCACCATTAAAGAAACAAGGGGATGTGCTAGACAACTATTTACCTTGTAGAGGTCAATGAGGACGTTGTCCAGTGATCCCTGAGCTTGTTTAGAACAAAGTCCCCTAAGAGACTTGATAGCTTCGATGGCTTCTTCAGTTCTATCCAGCTGCTTCATCACCACTGCCATGTCCTTAAGGGCGCTGTCTACTCGATCTCCTGCATTGATAGCCTTCCAGAACAAAACAATCGCAGATTCCGGATCCTTCTGAACTAGCTGAGGAAACAACAAATTAAGTGTGAACGGAGAAAATAAATTTAGCAAACTTCTTGTGCTGTATTAGTCACCATATAGCAAGTATATCATGAAAAAATACTGGTGGAAAAAAGACAAGGTGCGAAGTTTCCTGTTTTCGACCCAAATTAATGATGGAGAGGTGCCCCCTATATATCCTGCTATCCATGCTGCTGATGTAAAAAGCCAGGCAGGTAACCGCTCCAACCAAATACTATACTAAAGCGCATGAATTCGTTTATGAAAAGAGACATTAAAGAGAATTCTATATTAGTTAAGCTATCATTTCATCTTGTTTATTGCCATCTCGATTTAAAATTAATCGAGATCTATTAAGGGTGAAATATAATTTCGAGCGCCATGATTTGATAGTTTGGGTTAACCATCGGAGGTTTCAAATTTTTTCTTGATACTGTATTTCATATGGATGACTTACCGACATGGTTTAAAGTCGCGGACACGATCATGGTCCGGACCGTTCTACATTAGCCTCGACATATTGATCGTCGTGAGATCCAAATTTTTGAAACATTTAATATTTTAAAATTTATAAAAAAATATATGATAAATAAAAATAATAAAAATTTGATTTGACTTTAAATGAATCGTCCGGGACAATTCGACCGTTTTAATTCATTTCAAATACGTTACGATCGAGTTCTCAGCGATCCATTATCTTAGAAGCATCTTTGATTGAACCATGCTCAACGACTAAATCAGTATCTTCTAGCGGAAAACCTTCACAACTTAGATTACCTTGGATCATCCAGGTAATACAATAATGTTAAAACATATAAATAAAAAAAAAAAAAAACCCGACTTAACATTGAGTTCATAATATGAAATATTCTCCATTTTTCTTTCGAATAATCTATGGAAAAGTATAAGTGATAACTTAAAAATCGTATAGAAAGAAGAAATAAACCTGAGCATGCTTGGCACGAACATAAGGACCATCACCAAAAGGAACCTTGTGGATGACGTGAAAGAGCGATTCCTTGTCACCGTTATTCATCTCTTTGGTTGGAGAGCTCATTTTCTTGTTCGAACTTTCTTCAGCCATTTCTTTCTTCCGTCTTCTTTCCCCTTTCTTCCAAGAAGGGACAGTCTCTGCAGTCTCCGCTAGCTGGATTACTTCAGCAGGAGAAAAAGGATACAAACTAAGTAACTCTACCAGCCTAGCTTGCTACTTGCAGCCGTATTAGAGCTGGATCGCCATTACCCTTTAGAATGAAAGAGGATGCAATGGATGGCAGAATACACAGTCCAAACACATATATATATATACACACACACACACACACAGAGACAGAGAGAAAGAGAGACGTACTTGTGTATACAGATGCAATTAATTGATTATACATGCGAAGGGAAGGCCCCGTGAACCTAGACACCAAAGCGTCCAAGTTCTCAACGATGTATCTTGTCGGAGAGATGTTGATTGGTGTCTCGTACTAATCTCCAATTCCCCATCATTGGTGCACAACAAACCTTTTATTATTATTTAACTCTCCTCATTCATTTTTAACACTCGCTTGTTGATCAGCTCGAGTAGATTTTTTTTCACACCACATTCAGTTACTGCTACTATTTCTTTCAGATTCTAGATTTGATTAATGATTATCGTCCAAAATATTTACGAGCAATTTCAAAAGCTCTTTACGAGTAGTAGTGGTATTTCTTTCCAATAATTTGTACGGGTGAACCTGGACCCTTAAGAAGCCGAAATACAGACTAAAGAATTTGGAACCTGAAGTAAGGCTTGCTCATTATTGATTAGTGCTACCGTATCAATTTTGCATGCGTTGGATTTCTTTAGTCATTTTTACCTCCAAAATGAAAATGCCTTTTTTTTTTTTGCCATCTCATTTCCTGCAGCTAGCCTCTGTTTTGTTTGCTTTGTCCACGGTAATAATAGGCTTTTAACAATTTATGCATCTGGACGTCTTCATGGAATCAATTACTAAGAACGAAATGACGGGAGTCAACAAATACTTTCCCAAAGCAAAACAATAATGGATAATTAACCAACTCAATTTTTTTTTTTTTTGGGAGTATGAGTGGGTAAAGCATTACTCTATTCGCGGAGGAATGCAGTTCCCACACTTTTACCTTGTTTCCTTGAAGCCAGATTTTATCCCCTCTAGCTGCAGGGTCTTGATTCTTATTGATTTATTTATTCTTTTACTGATGCTGGCCGTCGAGGATGCAGGATCTCCAGCGGTTAACGGTCTGAGATTCACCAAATCAAACGCGACCCGACTCAATCTCGGCCATCCATTCTAAAATCAAAGAATTCTCTATAAAATCTCGTGACTCTGCTTCAAATCTAGACATCCATTTAAAGGGGAGGTCGTTCTGGTTTTTGTCATAGTGTTCGGTGCCAGCACAGATTGGCTTCAAATGAAGATAGATACTGGATTGGGGAGCTGAGAACTATGGCTTGAAAATCCATCAGCTTTAGGGCAAATAATCAATGAGCAGGGGCATGTTTACCAAAGATAATCGGCTTACACTGCCGATTTGATGCAAGGTGCAGGTTGATTTTGGAAAACTTCAATGCAAATCGACTTGTTTTGAATGTCTTGCACTCACATGTATATTTCCATTTGCATATGAGAACGAGCTATTTGATTATTTGGGTGTTCTGTTATATTTGACTTTATATTTATTAGGATTTCTTTTTTCTGATGCCCTCTACCTGGGGTTCCTGGAATTTCAGTCTCGTGTCATTCCACAGCTCATTTATTTATTCCAAAGTCTTTTTTGTACAGAATGTTAAAATTGCCCTTTTCAAGTTTAAATGCAATTTGGAGTTGGGAGAGAGAGTTTTGTTATTATTTTAGCATAAACTTGCTGTGGAAATAAAAGATGGGCTGTGGCATTGTCATTTGCCATTAACATGTGGCACTTGACATATAAGGAAATACCTATATAAAAATCTTACATGCTCCTTGTTTGGATTGCGATTTTCCGTCAAAAAATTACGTCGTTTTTCGTGATCACATTTTCTTATTACTTTTTTTTCTCACATACATCAAATCACTACAGTAATTTTTTTATGAAAAATGACGGAAAATGCAATCCAAACAGGTTTGTCAGGACTTGGATGCTCCGGGAGTTCAATATTTTGCCAAGTTGCAGCACTGTTAACCATGTGAAATAATAGCCAAGACAACAGCTTCTATGAATTTTTTTTTATTCTGTATTTGTTTGATTTATGTATTTTTTGAAATCGACCTAAGAAATGGAGCAATCAATCTAAAGAATCTTAAAGGAGGATGGGGAGAAGCAAGTGCTATTTTCTTTGATCTTTTTTCAATTTCTTTCTCTTTTCCTCATTTCTAATCCCTAATTAAGACCTCTGTTATAATTTGTTGAAAGCTTAAGCAATAGATCAGGTAATTCCATGAGAGAATGGTATTTTATTTAACTATTTATAAAGCACAAGCTAGTTTACCGTGTGTCGTCTGAAAATGCATTCATGGGATATTTGTCTCCTCTTCTCCCACCCCTTAAACTCCCAAACTAGCTGGAAGGATCTCATGTAACATGTAGAAAATCGAAATGCTTCCTTTTTTTACGAATTAAAAAAAAAAAATTACCATAATGTATCGCATGTCGTTACAATTTGCTGTCAACAGAAGACAGCATCGTATTTGATTACCATGCTTCAAATGCCGCAAAAGCATCAAGAAAGAAAGATGTTCATTTGACATCTTTGGATAAAAGATTAACTTTGCTGACCGGTCGAGCATTGCAAAGATCATCTGTTGAATCACCTCTCTCAAATACACCTGCAGCCCCCATTCCAGAACCTAGATATGCAAAGCAGAGAAAAGATTGGTAAAGATTGTCTACCAGAAGACTATCTGTTGACTACATGATCGATCCTCTCTAATAACAATGAAGTAGAAGAAGGTATATAACACAGTAATGGAGAGAATGTAGGGAGGGACCTATGCACATGGAAATCACACCAAAACGGCAGTCCCTGCCCCTTCGCTTCATCTCATGTAATAAAGTTGCAACACAACGAGCACCTAACAAAATTTGCAATCTGTTATTATGATTTTGGCAATTGTGCAGATTGGTGCGTTTCACAGATCAGGATACCAGAAATTCAGGGAGACATGCACAAGGGTCAGAACTGATCCAATTAGAGATGCAGACTTTACCTGTAGCCCCCAAAGGATGTCCAAGAGCCATTGCTCCTCCATTCACATTAACTTTTTCCATGTCAAGCTCCAGTTTCTTGCAGCAATATACGTATTGCGATGCAAATGCCTGTGGAGTTCAATGATTCTAATTTAAGGTGAAAATTTCCATTAACAAAGCAGAGTTAAAATGCCTGTAAACAAATCAAGTACCTCATTTATTTCAAACAGATCAATGTCATCAACTCCAAGACCAGCAGACTTTGCCGCAGCTGGAATTGCAACTGCTGGACCTATTCCCATCACTGCAGGGTCCACTCCAGCAACGGAGAAGCTCCTGCATGAGAAGCAGCAGCAAGTTGATGTCAACTCTTGAGAGCAATTCAGGCATGCTCAACATTCCTAACTCTTGATTAGAATAATGCATTATGCCAAGCATTTTATTCTCATTTCAGAAAACATCATTCTTTCGTTTTCATTTTCTTCTCCGATACTATTCAACATTCAGAAATGACTGCAGCTGCTTCCGCAGAGAGAAGGAATTGACCTGTCTCAGGAATCACCAAATGCTAATTTAATGTGCTTTTGTGTATAGAAAAATATTTAATCTAGCTTAATCATACTAAATATACATTGTTATGGTAGCCAAGTGCCTCCAATTCTTTTATGACTCTTAAATCAGTCTCTCTGCTTGTTATGGAATTTCATGAGTAAATTAACTTGTCAGTAAGTTTCAATTGAACATAGCATGGCCTATTGCAATAACGATTAGTTCCAGGAGAAACGACAAACCTTCAGTCCAGACTAATTCCTTTGGAAAATAAGAACATCAGATAAACATGATAACTTTAGTGGGTGAAGATCATAGATTTAGCATAAGCAGCCTCAGGTAAGTAATTGATAAAATCACAAGAGTTACAGGATTTGTTAGCCAAGCTAAATACATATCTTCAAAAGGACTTCAAAATAATGGGCATATAAGGTGGGCAAGCTACATTAAGCATTCAAAAGATTGGCCAGATATAATAAAAATTAAACAATGTATTTATGAGTTTGGCACCTTTTTTTTCAAAGTTTCAACCTTTTTGTATCCAATGAGACATTTGAAAGGACCTTTGTGCTTTTAATTGAAACAGAAATCTGGTAAAAGTTTCTTATCAGTTGGTAATGAGTGGATTCTTTGTACCAGAAAACAACCCAATACATCCAAACAAGGTGTACAGGGAAGTTTCTAAATACAATGCGGTTGATATACATCTAGTACTACAAATAAGGCCCATGACATCCTCTCACTCTTTATAGATCAAGAGTCAAAAATGTCATCAGATTAAGGATATGTCAAGGAGTATAAAGCGGTTAACAAAAATTGAGAACTAAGAAAGGATTATCATTAAAGCTATACCAGCTTACAAAAAATAGTAGCTCGACAAAATTAACTGCCGAGGTACATGCCAGTTCTCTATAAAAAGTTGAAAAAACATCTATAAGAAGGTATACCAACTTGCCACAACATGCATACCTGAATATTCCAAGAATTGGAAGCCCCTTTTCCATTGCTAGACTCCTTTTCATCAGAAGAACTGCACCTGCTCCATCACTTATCTGACTAGCATTCCCTACAAATGGTATACTTGTTCAAACAGACTTCAATAAAAGATGAAGATATGAAGGCACTTGGCAGTGTCTAATGTCCACTAGAGCTAAACAGTACTTGAGTACCAGCAGTTGTAGTTCCATCTTTCTTGAACGCAGGTTTCAACTTTGCCAGATCTGTCAAGTTTGTGCTTGGCCGAATGCCATCATCCACTGAAACTGTAACTGGCTTCTCCTCTCCATTTTTAGGGTCCTTGATCTTTCATGGTAATCTCAGTTAGAAAGCATTCGAAACGGAGGACTTACATTTGGGCTTCATATTCTTTTCTATGTGGGCTATATAAACAACAATAAAAAGATAGGCTTCACTTTCAAAGATGAGTCTACTACCTTGGTGAAAACTGGGATGATTTCGTCTTTATATTTACCAGATGCAGTTGCTGCAGCAGCACGCTTGTGAGACATAACCTATTGTTGCAATATTACGAGTTCAAAAATTTTTCTCCCACCAAATCATGCATCAGAAGAAATAAATAGAAAGGTCCATGACTTACAGCAGCCTGGTCTTGTTCTTGCCGTGTTACCCCATACCGCTCTGCAACATTTTCAGAAGTAATGCCCATAGGGAGAAGACAGTCCCGGGCTTGTGGAAAGAGTCGACCTGTCATACAAATATCTCCAGTTGAGGATGCTACTTCACAAATCAGAAGATCTGTTCCAAAAGGTAAAGAGTAAGTAGAGCTGAGCTTACTCGTGGATTAGCTTGTTGGATGCTAACATTGGAATTAGTGGTCATTGACTCTAACCCAGCCCCAATCCCTGCATGGGAAAGAATTAAACAAGAAATTTGAATAAAACTATCACCAGTTATTATTTCGAAAGGTAATTTTTTTTTACCTATGTCGTAGAAACCAGCTTTAATGCATGCAGCAACATCAGCAACTGCCTGGAGGCCAGAAGAGCATTGTCTATTGACAGTTCTGATGGGCACAGTTTCTGCAAAAAGGTACAAAATTATACAAGAGACAACCACAACTTGCAAGTAAAGGACATTGAAGATAAATGCAGACAATAACCAGCAAAAGGAATTATTTCCCGTATCTGTTAGAAAGGACTTATAACAGAAATAGAATGTCCATTTCATTTAGTTTATCCTCTTAAACCAATCATAAAATGATTCCAATTTAGAAGGCTGCTACTATAAATATTCGTACAATTTATATTCTGCAATATTTTTCTCTTCCTGGTTGCCAACTAAAACAAAGCATCACATGTCCACTCATCCAGACAACAAATTAAACACAAAAGAAAAAAGAATGAACTATTTACCAGGAAAACCAGCATAGAATGGCCATCCTGCATTCAGTTGCTCTTTGTGAACCTGGAGCTACAACAGTGCCCACAACTATATCCCCCACCACTCGCTTGTTAATATTTGTCTTGTCGATCAAGGCCTACAATGAATGATAAATGTAGGATGATACACTATAATTGTTGAATGAGAAGTTCCAATTATAGAAGTGGATAACAAATGCTATAATAATAGAAGATAGAACAAGAATGGGCAGCTGACTTAAGAAGCAAAGACAAAGAAATCTAAGCATGAGACGTTCCAAATAAGACACTTATTTATTGTTAATCTAAATTATTATTCAGAAAATCCATTTCTGTTTTAAAAACTTAAAACGTATTTGGCTGCTACAATATTCTAACCAAAATCACTTAGAGCTGTGACCTTGAACAACATGAAAATCTGTTCTGCAACTGACCTTCAGAACTGGAGCGAGTAAATCATCCGCAAGGGTATCTTTGAAGCCACCACGTTTTGATTTGCATATCGCAGTCCGATATGCCCTGTAGAACATGACTTGTCGTTATCAAACTGACGGTAGAAGAGCCATTTGGCACAAACTAGGACAAAACAATCTTGACTGCAAGTAACTTACGCTACAATGACTACATCATCTCCAAAAGCAGCTGTCCTCTGGTAAGCAGCACTATCCCCCGCCAGACAAATTGACGGCTAGTCGAGTATCCCAAAATAAATTATACAAAAAAAAGGGTATGAGAATCGAAAAGTACAATATTGTGTCATGACTGCAAGTTCTGGGTAATAGACAAATGATGATCATAGCAAAGTCTTTGATACAGTTTAGTTCCCCCAAACGAAAACTTGTCCTATCTTGATCTAAAACAAAGTCTTGAGCACAGATTTAAGAGATGTTCTTTAGCTTGAAAGCCACGGATTGATTATCATATTATGAAGTTGGATCACATCAAAAGTTATGCTACCAATTCTAATTGCAATCTTGCGTAAAATAAGCAAAAACTTATGATTCGCGCACTAGCTTAGAAGTGATTGCTTTGGCAGAATAGCATGAAGCAATCCATATTCTTTAAATAAGAAAGTTCTTTACTTGTTTCAACTGCCGTTGAAATAACACAGCAAAATACCATCGTCCCAACATCCAACTATATAACAGGGTAATGCTAGCTAGTAACCTAACACAGTAGACATCAATTAACTTCTAAACTTAGTTCCAGCATTCCATCAAGCAAACTGTTGACAGTCATTATTCTCAAAAAAAAAAAAAAAAAAAAAATCTTCTCTTTGGGTAATGAAATTATTGCAATCACCCTCCATTTGACGTAAATTCTAGCCCCCGCCGGGCCACAACCATCCATTAATAACGTGATTGATCTAAAATTTTCATTTCAGAATATATTTGAGCAATAGAATTATAAATCTTACAGAAATTGAAGAAGATTCTTCATGGGTCAGCTGATGAGAAAAGCAAGAAGTGGGTTGCAGGTGTTCCAGCAAAACTTTTTGTCTGAAGATAGCTTTCTCCATTTCCTGGCTTCCTCCAAGTTCTCACCAACTCTTTTTTACCCTCTCTTTGTTTCTTGATCAATTAATCAACGATGTTAAAGCCCACTTTGCACTCGAATAAGCTAATTTGGCAAGATACTTGTATATATAGAGTGGAGGTAGCAGCCTTGAATGCAATATGGCCTTCAAATTTTATCGCTGACCAGCAACTTTAATGGTAAATAAGTTTTAAAAACCGAAATTGCTGTGGCGTTTTTGGGTCAAGTTCAACTACCGAAAGCTTGTTGGTATTCCCTCCCTTTTTTTATAACTGTCGTTTAAGAAATTTGCTTCTAAGTACTTTTATCTGTCGTTTTACTATCCCTACGCAGCATTTATTATTTTTTCACATTTTTACCCTTTTATCTCTCTTACTCCTAGTAATTATTGCTTCTCTCTGCCCTTCCATATTCTTTCTTCTTTTCTCACCGTATGTTGAACCCCTTTGTTCTTCTTACTCCTAGTATGTTGAACCATTTAATACAGTGAGAGAAAACATGGGTGAATGGAATAATTAATGAGGGTATAAAAGGAAAGTGGTATATAGATTTAAGCAATGAAAACTTTTCTTAATTGACGTGCAATTCTTTAAACGCCAGTTATAAAAAAAGGGAGGGAGTATTAGTCTTTTTCGTTTTTGGCGTTGGTCTTGGTTTTGGGTATGCGTGTCTTCACCGATTGCAGTAATGCACTTGTCTGCCGGTGGGGACTTTGGCATTATGAAATGCATGAAGAACGTGGTGGGCAGGGCCGTGGGTGGATATCTCAATCCGAGTTTTCCCTGATTTTGTTGCATTTGCTCCGAAAGTTCAATGGGAATCACACCGTGGAAACTAAGAAAGAAAACTCATGGAACTTTTGACGAAGCTACACTTGATCTTCGTGTGGAAATTAAGAAAGACCTTAGCTTTATTAGACTTGTTACTGTCATTTGCACTCAGCACCCCCCGATTATTCTTAAACTATTAAATTACAGCACGATGCAACCCTTCTTTTATTATTTATTTAAACTTGTTTTAATAGGGGAATGATGGAACTTTAAAAAGTGGAGAGAGGGCAGGGGATTAAATTTAAAATCTCTAATTCTTGAGATCTCAACCTTAATCAAATTCGGAAATATAAATAAGAAGAACTCTTTTTTTTTTTTTTAAACTACATGAAGTACTCTTTTCACCATAGCACCCCGACAGCGTATACATGCCACCATCCACCATATATATATATATAATTTTTAACTTTTTTTTAAATATAAGTGAGAGGATTTGAACCCGAAACCTTATAGTACTTATATTATCTCTTTCTCTCGAATCACCCAACCCATCCCATCCCATCCCACTTTTATATATTCTTGTATTTAATATATTTCTTACTTTTTTCTAGTAATATAAATATTAACAAAATATAAGCATTTATGTGGCTACTGAAAAAAGGCCAACCTAGCGCAGTTCACTTAGGTAAGGAGCTTATGGTCTTTTTAATTGCAAAGGGCTAACTAGTTTCCAACGTAATTTAGGCTATTGAGAAAGTCTACAATAAACTATAAAGCGTGAGATACTATGTTGCTATAACTTATAGTTTAGGGGGCAAAGTATTAATCATGAGTAGTTTAGGCGTGCAAATTACAACTACCCCTTTTAATTCATCTTAATTGAGTTAAAATAAATTTGTTAAGATTTCAAATATTTTTTAAGCTATTTTTATTTGAATTCTCTTGCCCCATTCGTTTTAAAAAAGGATTTCATGGTGGTGTGTGGGACATGATCGTTGACTTGTAGAAAGAAAAGAAAGAAGGTCTCCATTCCCTTGAAGTTTCGGGGAATTATTTAAGCTTAAGAAATTCATCAACAAGCCATGAAATTAATAACAACCCTTTGCCGCCCTTCCAAGGCAGTCAAGCTGGTCTCACTAAGGGTTAGTACCCCCGAGGTCCAGTGTTCAAGTCTTGTCACAAAAATGGGGAATAGCCCAACAACTCGAATAAGGGTTGGGGTCTGAAGTGGGGTCAGGTCCTTTTTTTAGATTAAAAAATAATAATAATTACAACCCTTTGCCCTCAAACATGTTTTTTTTAAGGAGCAATTAATTAAGTAATTTAAGGTAGTTAATGGGATTATCAAACACCTTAAAGTCCTCACAACAAGTCACTATAGGGGGGGGGGACAATCAGGAAGGCCTACTAAATTATAATTAATTAAAGTGAGTTGTTTCAAATCCAGAATAAATGAAATAAAAAACAGAGTGATGGCTGTATTTATTTTTTTAAAAAAAGTAATACTATATAAAATCCCATGTGTTGCAACAACATCTCTCTTATTTCTGCACTTACGGGGCCAAATTGGCATCTGAGCCTTGATTTTGTTGCACCGTGACTTGTAAGATGGCTATCAAAGGTTAGGTATGCTTGTACAATTCATTGCTCAGTCAACAGAATAGAACATGGAAGAAGAACAGCGAGAAATCATAGTAATTCAATTGTCTGATTTCTTTCCTTCTACGTCTTCACAACTTCATTTAAGATTTGATCTGCATTCATTCATGATGAAATACCCAGTATTCAGTTGCAGTGAGCTCTTATCAAATACCAGTACCAGAAAAACGAGGAACAAAAACAGAATTGTACACTTCCAAAGTCGAAAAAACTTTCTTCAGCTTTCTTGGAATCGAAAAACTGCTCAACTATCAGTACCGGTTATGGAGAGTACGACTGGGAGGTACTTGACCAGGACATGTAATGTGGTCAGGCATAACTTAACTAACATCTTGTACCTTGCCGCCTCGGTGGCTAGGCGGAAGCCGCATAACCACACAAATTTAAGAAGCTTTCTACAGTGATATTCCACACAAATTCGAGCTTAAGCTTATTTTACTTTAATCAAACTCGATCAAATCGAAGTCAAACGAGTTTTTAAGCTCAAATTTTTTTTAGTGAATTTCATAATTTTATAATAAAGGATAAAATACACAAAACTCCCTTGTGGTTTGACTAATTGACACGCTACCTCCTCATTATTTAAAAACACTCACACTACCCCCTCGTACTTTAGACTAAAGTGAAATTTAACCGGTAACCTGTATGCTACCTGCAAGTGATGTATTATTATTATTATTATTTTTTATTTTATTGTCATTTTTTCTTTCAATTTTGGTGCTTTGACTTAACTATCATTTGTATTTTTACAAATTGTATAATTAGTTATGCACTTTTAAAATTTTCTAAAAATTATTCATACCCTCTCACTATTTTGCTCTGCCATCTCTCTCTACTGACGCCAGTCGCCACCACCACTCGCTGCTTTGTCTCCAAAGATTTTTTCAAAACAATGACCCCAAAATCCTCCCTCAATTTATGCAACACAGGGTCCTCGTTAGATGCTGAATCAGGAAATTCTTGTGGGTTCGCTCCGGCCCAATCACCCGAATTACGCAGATTAAGATCGTAGTACATACTCTCAGAAGTCGGGTCAGACGGGAACTTCAAATTGGAGCATCGGTTGCTCTTGAGCATTAGATTGGAGTTGGAGCTTGAGGTTCTTCATCTTCTTAGTCGGCCTCCATTCGTTGGGCTTAGGAGGAATTATCCGATTATCCGGATTTTTTGCGATTGGGGCTTTGGAGAAGTCGAATTCGATAATGAATTCTTTTGACTCTTCGGTGTCGGTGGCAGCGTCAGAGGGTTTCTTGAGGGTCGAATTTTAGGGCTTTGAGGAGAGGGGGAAAGAAAGCTTCATCTTAGCAAAGAATTGAAAGAAGATTCTAAACTAAAATCTCCGATCCCCCAAAAACCTACAAATAAAGGCGAGGACTACTTGCCATTACCAATGACTCTCCAATGCAATTGATGCAGTAATTTTGCCTGCAATTATATAGGGTTTAAACAATTTAGGTATTTTCTTGGCTAATCCAGAGTGAGAGGAGAGAATAAAAGACAGAATTGGAGCAGTAATTTTGGATGTGTGCTTTCTTCCTATGCTAATTGTTATGCCTCACGCCAAGGCGTAAGGGTGCCAAAGAGGGAGAGTATGAAGTGGTGGAAGGGATGGTGTAGAGTTTGGGTGGCGAGGGGGATGGTGGTATGAAATGGTGGTGCAAAGTTCTGGTGGGAAGGGATGGTGGTGTGAAGTGGTGGAGGGGAAGGGGAGCAGGAGAGAGGAGAAAAAAGAAAGAATAAAAAAATTAGCAGATGCCAAGACCTTTGCTTCGATATTGTGAGTTGTGGAGAATGTGAAATGGAGGAAGAAGAAGAGGAAGAATAGAAAAGAAAAGAATAAAAAAGGAAAGGAAAGGAAAATAAAATAAAAAAGAAAAAAAATTAGTAATAGACAGACTACCGGTTCATAGCAGGTAAAAAAGCGTAATTCTACTCTAATCCAAAGCACGAGGGGGGTAGTGTGGGTGTTTTTAAATAATGAGGAGATAGCGTGTTAATTAGTCAAATCACAAGAAGGTTTTCTGTATTTTAAACAATCAAGTACTTGAATTTTAATTTTTTTTCTACTCAAATTTAACTCGTTTACCTTATTTATAAATAGTTTGAACTCAATTCGAACGCGATCAATATTGAATTTGAGTCGAGTCTTTAATTGAACTATTGACGAGTCAAAATCAAGTAGCTAGTATCAAATACTTCGAACTCCACTCAAACTCGGTCCTTTTTTTTTTTTTTTTGTCTCCTTTGTAGATGACTAATCGAACTTCCAGTTCTAAATTTTCTTAGACAAGGCAAACAACCGTCGGGCCGGACGATTGGATTCAAAACCCAGCTTCTCTTGGGTAAAGTGAATTAGTTCTTGACCGGAGCAAACTCTGCGTTGGCTATTAGATTACAGACTGAGTGGTTGAAGGATCGCAACCGTCAGAATCATCCTTTAGTGGATGAGGGGACCTGGACCGTTCTCGTTTGTCCCCCGCTAGCTTGCAAGGAAGGAGTCCGTTCAAGGAAAGTGCATCCGTGACCCCAGGTGTAATCAGTAATCACCCGACCTTTTACTGTCTCGTCTCTCGCATTCGTGCTAAATATGTTTGCGCGATTGCCTTTGATACAAGGCTATGGCAATTCGCACCCAGTCGCACCGACCCGATCGTGGGGTATTATTCACTTGGAAAAAGTGTTTTGATAGTTCCATTGCAGATCAGCAAAACCATATGCTGCATACTCTAATTTCTCTTGCGATCAAAAGGTGAGCATATTAGCGAAACTTGCCATTGAAGA